CCGCGAGGGCCTTCCGGCCCTGGGTGGGAGGGGGCCGCCCGCAGCGTGTCCGCCGCAGACGCAGGCCGAGGCTGGGAGGCAGGGAGAGGCCCCAGACGCCCCTCCTGAGGTCTCCCGCGGTCACGCGTCGGCGCGGAATGCGGGAGCTGTTCTCATAGAAGGGCCAACAGTGGCTGCTGTCCACAGCAGGGGTCCTGGCCGTGCACAGAAGCTAGGTTCGCTGGCACGAGAGGCCTGAGAGTCATCTTCTCTGCCCCCACACGGAGGCAACGTGGCTGATGCCCCAGAGCAAGGGAGGGGACACACGGGGCTGAGCCCACCTTTCCTCCCTGTTCTCAAAGCCAGCCCCATGGGCCTGCAGCGTCAGCCTCGCCCGGAAGCTTGTCAATACGGGGTCTGGGCCTGACCCCCGAGGCAGGCGTGCAGCGTGAAGACCCCGGTGGCTTCGCGGTGCTGAGTCCTGCAGAACGTGTCTAGGAGACACGGCTGGAGCATGGCCTCTCCCACCGACAGGGCCCGGTTTTTCTCCAAAGCACTGCCGACTCGCTTCCGCAGCCGCTCTGGTTTCCTGCGCGTCCACGCACCGCGTGGCCCGGCTACACGCTGACCTACGATGGGGCAGTCAAAATGAACAGGCCCTGGAGGACTCGGGGCCGCAGCATGTGAGTGCTGGACGTCTGAACGAGGGAACGCTCCAGCATCCCCCGGAAGGCATTCTCACGGCCCTGTGTCCGCCATGGCTATCTGTGCCCATGGCGGACAGACCGGTGGTTCCAGGAAGAGGCAGGAAACGCTGGATTAACGTAGAGACTTCCGTCCCTTTTTAAACAAAAACAATTTTTAAGAAGTTTTCTTTCTATGTCCTTTCTCACCATCTCCAGATCTCCTGACCCTTTAAAGACTCTCATGCCAGACATTCTGTGAGCTCGGGTGTGTGGAGCGGCACCGCCAGGGCCCAGGCGGCGCCTGCTCAGTCTCTCCCGTCCTTTCTATCAAGCTTTCAGGCAAGAACAAATCAGTATGAAAATATAAGTTCCCTGAGGTCTAAAACTTCAGTTCTCCCCCTGCTAAGACACCTGCTCCGAGACCCAGGCACGCTGACGAACCGCTGTCCTGAACCGTGTCCGCGTGGACAGTCAGCACACGAGTCTGCCCTTGCATTTCCTTTGGGTTTCCCTGGAGAAATAGAGGTCATAGGACTCCGGTGGTCCCTGGTGGACACGCTCATGTTCTACCTTATCTGTAGGCTTGCCTCTAGTCCAGCTTCCCGGTAAATAGCATGCGTTGACTTCTCTAATGTGGAAAAAAATACATTTAGTTCTAAAAGGCTCGGTGTGACAGAGAACAAGCCACGGAACTAAAATACAACCACCTGTGTAATTCTACAAGCTCCGCAGACACACCACTGCCTGTGCCGCGGCTCTCCGCAAGGAAACTACTAGAAGTGGGGTATGTAAGCACAGACCAGAAGGCAGTTTCTAGAACAGGTCACTAAACTGGAAAAATCCTGAGTGGGAAATGGTCGAGGTACGAGCAGTGCGACGGGGAGAGCCCGGCCGACCCGGGTCTGAGCCCTCCCTGCTGCCCTGACGGCCTCCGGGCCCTGTTCAAGGGGCAGGGAGGACTGCCCATGTGTGCTCACGGGGTGGACCGCCAGCACACGCTCACGGGGTGGACTGCCGGCACACGCTCACGGGGTGGACCGCCGGCCAA